AAACAGTTTACCAGGTGAAGTGGCTAGATGGGCTTGAGGAGTCTGGATTGTAAATCAGGGCAGACACAAGGTAGAATGGGATCTACTGGGTGATTTGCAGTAGGTCAGCAAGGGGTTTTGTCTCTCAAACATTTCAGAAGCAACAGTAAAATGACTTTTCCCACCTACATATGGTTGCTCAAGTGACAAAATAGGGTGCAAGGGGGATAAGGAGTAGATTTTTGCCTGGAAAGATTGTGAGCATGTTCTCACACTGAAACCAGAATTCTTGATCTAATCCATATGCTCAGAGGCACTCTGTTCCTTAATCCTTTTCTTTCTATCATATTGATTCCCATTAGGCAAGTTTGAGAGTCTAATTTTTAAAAACTACATTTCTAGATCTTGGAAGAGTGATGTTGACCAACCCATGCTGCGGCTGACCATCATTTTCTTTTTACTTGTTTATATACTACAGTCTGGTCTGCACATAATAATAAACCAGAGCTCCATAAGAATCTTGGCTTATCATTTATGAGCAGCATGAAAACAGAAGTGGCTAGGTCTTCTAGCCATGGTTTGCTCACTGTGATACACAAACTGGGAACTCTGGTTTTTCCCTCCCTCAAAAAGCACAGGCCACCAGGCTTGTACATCAAGAGCCTGTGCTGCATTGGACAAATTAAGGAGATTCCATAGAATTGTCTTTGCCAAAAGAGCTGAAAACAAAGAATCAGAACAAAGAATCTGTAAAACTTCCCACCTGCTTAAGTTCAAAAGCTATACCACATTGATTATATATTTGGAGTGAAGTTGTGGTTCACCTGCATCATCATATAGGCAAATAAAATGCCACTATTTCCAACTACATTTCCCAGAAGGCAAATGATCAAATAAATACAATACAAATAATACCCACGACTTCAGGTTCATAAAAATGCACACTCCAGTAATAATGCTAAATGCCCCTCCTTTGGTTAGGTTTCTTAAAAAAGAATAATCTCACAGCTAAGAAATCTGCCAGGTTTTTAGAAAAGCTCCTTTATCACACATCATAGTTGCATGATGTTCTTTGCTGTTTCTGTGCTGCAATCTGATGCTAATGTGAAGACAGCAGGCCTTACGTCCAAGGAGTGATTGCTCCTCCTGCTGAACCACTGCCTAAATCTGGTTATGCCTACTGCAGTGGGGAATGGGACCTTTATGCAGAAAATCTATTGATGTGTAATGGAAGAGGGTTACAGGAAGCTTGGTTCTGGCTGGACAACAGGAAAAACTTTCCGACTATTAGAGCAGTACAGCAATGAACCAATTACCTGGGGAGGTCGTGGGCTCCCCCACACTGAAGGCATTCAAGAGGCAGCTGGGCAGCCATCCGCCAGGGATGTTTTACTTGGCGTCCTGCACTGAGCGGAGGGCTGGATTTGGTGGCCGCGTAGGCCCCTTCCACCTCTAAGAGTCTATGATTCTGTGGTTATAAGATACTCTAATAAGAGAATGGTCAGCTAGAATACCAAGGGTGTCACTGCTGCTGGGTCAGCAAGGTGAACTGTGCTGGATATCCTGATGCTTCACATATTTGCCTGAGTAAATGAGCTAAGGAACTCTAGTCCTTTTGTCTTATGTATCTGACTACTTACTATTAAAATGCCCAATAACCAAAGTTTCCTAGGTCCTGCACAATACATCAGCAACATAAAATATAAAGGAGCAATGGATAAAACCATCACAATTCATAACAACAAATTTAATCAGCTAGCAGAATAGAATAATAAAATGTTGGCTAGGGCTCGCTGGGAGTTGTAGGCCATTTTTTTACTGCCTGGGCTGCATCTTAAAAGCATTAGAAACATTTCTTAAAATGACCCAAACCATGTTAATCCTCAGGGCCAAGCACATACTGCCAAGTACAAACATACACAGTGCCTATCGCACAACTGGTGCATAATGAACTTATTATTTATTTATTTTAAAGTTTTTACATGCTGTCCCAATACTAAAATTTTCTGGACGACTTATAAAAAACTTGTGCCACATGAGGAAAGATATAGGGTAACATGTGATTATACGTATTAATATATTCTTTTTCTGCCTTTGTTTCCATTTGCAAGGTAGTCTAAAATAATAAAAATATTAAAGTGCAGCATTAAAATAATAAAATGTGAATATTTTAAAATGCAGCTTCTACAGTGTACATAAAAATGGAAGTCCACACAAACTCCAGAAAACACCTCCGGAAGGTAAAATATCGCTGTTTGTGTACCCAGTTATGGGCACATGATGATTTCTGTACAAAATTTACGTGACTCAGGCTTACGTGACTCAGGACCCATGTCATCATTTAGTTATGCTTCAAACAATATGCCTAACTGTTATCCAGTCCTCTCCCCTGCCTTGGAAACTTTCCTTGTCTTAGCATCCTCACAAGAGCCCTGTAAGGAAGGTTACATTGAGAGAATAACTGGTCCAAGTTCACCAGGGAGGGATTGAGTAAGAGTTTAAAATGTGGTCTCCGTCTTCTAAATTAGGGGTAGGCGCCTTTCCTCCCGCAGAAATTTTCACCTATAACTGTCATCATCCCTGGCCAACATAGCCAATACTGAAGTTGAGGAGTTGCAGGCTAAAAAATATGGAAGGTCAAAATTTGCCCGCCCCTATAATTCACTGAAGTTCATACCCCTCACAGTTTATTGATCATATCTTCTTATGCTGTTGTGCTTATTCAATTCTTTTCCAACTATTAGTTCACACCACTTGCATTCCTCACAGAAACTCTGGCCCTTAAGAAGGATGCATCACACTGATTTGGTTCTCTTTGTATTACTGCATAAAGCCTGAGCTAGTAACACTGCAACTTGGTCACTCCGAACCAGTGTCTATCAACCCTAATGCACTAAGCCAGTATGGAAAAGAGACCAAGAATCCAAGTACTGCGCACTGTATCAGAAAGCAGTATGCTCCGTCACCATAGCAGAGCACTATGAACTAAAAGTACTGTTCCTATGTTATAGTGCTCTAGGCTTGCAGTGTTGCTGTTCTGAATTCTATATACACCTATATATAGAATTCCATACCACAATTATTCACTAAGGATTCTGCTTTTACCTCATTTTTTGTGCAGTAAACAACGATGAATTATGGAGCTGGGATTATAGAAAATCCTCGTATGTTGCAAAAATTGATCTTACCACATGTAAAGCTTCCTGCACAAAGATTTTCCTGTGGTCTCTGGTACTTTATAGCCTCCCATCTGAACTCTAGAAAACCATGTATCATACTCCTCCACATAGACATTTTCTCCATCTCAGCAAATGTGGCCTTTTTATTTATTTGCCCCTAAACATACAGACTATCTCCCCACTTCAAAGTCTCACTGGCATTTCAGACAGCCTGATTCAGTGCATATCTACTCAGAATTACATTCCGCTTTGCTCACTAGTACTTTCTTCCCAGTAAGTATATACAAGATTGCCTCCCTAGCCATTTTTATTTAATCTGACAGTGCAGAGTCAGTGTACTTTGCTGATAAATGCCTGAACCAAATTAAGTAGGAACAGGCTATGTGGCATTCATAAGTGACTGCTGCTGCTTTTGCCAGCTGAGAAACCTTTCTGCCCAGAATTAGTCTAGAACATGCATGTGAACACCTCAGGAAACTGGTGTGTGTGAACACCTCACCAGGAAACTGGAGTGGATTTTTTTTCAAAAATGGTAGTGCTTACATGACACAATGACATAGTTATGTCATTATGTATTAATGAACAATGATCTTATGAAAAGCAAACAGAGGAATGATTCATTCTCTTGCATCTCCCCTGCTCCACCAGTCTCTGTACCTACCAAGCACAGATTCTGAGTTGTGTCCAACATTCCTCTAACTTAAGTCCCATTCATTTTGGTAGGTCTACTCCAAGTTGAACTAAGTGTAGCTACAATCCTCCATTAGGGATCATCTCTACACAGTGAAATACCCCCCTTCCAGAGGAATAGAAGTGATCACAGCAACAGAGGAACGGAAGTGCTCACGGATTCCCTTACCAACTTCTATTTACTCCATTGAGTTTTGCCAAAGTTGCACTCATCACAAGCAAAAAGCAGTGTTTGTTTTAAATCATAGGCAGGAAAAATTAGTACTGCAACCGGTAAACACTTCTTGAGGAACCAAAGCAGATTTGTGCCTTACAAGAAATCCCTGTAGCGAGGCTGGCCCAGGCGGATGGGTTAAATCCCCTTTCCCTGCCCCAAAGGAATTATTAGTCACCTGAGAGTGCCCTCTGGTGGTGGAAAGAGGCCGATTGTACAACCTCAGCCGAAAAAGATGCACTGGCTGAAGGAAGCGGGTGTTTGGCAGATGCTGTGCCCGGAGCGCTGGAACTGAACAAAAGGGGGAAATGCAGGAGGAAAGGAAAATGGAAAACAACAACGGGCAGCAAACGGGTTGCAAAATCCAAGGTGGTGGTCCACTGTGTACAATATGGTGCGAACCCTGCGGCTCTGCAGCTGTTTTTGGACTGCAACTCCCACATGGGCCATGCTTACTGCTGTTGATGGGAGCCTTCGTCCATAAACATCTGGAGGACCACCGATTCCTCATCCCTGCTTGTAGAGGGGGGAAGTGGCAAGCAGAAGGGCATGGCGGGGCAGCAAACTGGACAGAAGGCAGACGGCGGTGAGAAGCAGGGCAGCAGAGTCCAGGTGGCGGGGCTGAGCTGAAGGCTTAGCGGCAAATAAGCAACGCCAAAGCGCCAGGGCGAAAAAAGGCGATGCCCAGCTAGACGACCGCCGGTCGGGTGGGCAAACGCGCTGCCCAAGGGGGCGGCGGTCGGAGAAAGGCGTAAATGGGCTGCGAGCCGTCCGCCTCCCCTTCGCGGCACCAACCCGCGGTCAGAAAGCTTTCCCCGCAGCGGCCGCCACCTACGGCCGCCGCCGCCGTCCTGCTCTCTCGCCGCCGCCAATAGCAGCTGCCCGGCGCACTTGGCGCCAGCGTGCGCTCAGTCGACGGCGCGCCTGCGCTCGCTCACCTGCTTCCGAGACGATGCCGATCCAGAGCCAGAGCGACAGCGTGCAAACTCTCTTCATTTCCAGCGCCGGGGCGCGGGCCCGTTGGGAAGGGGCAGCAGCAGCAGGCGAATCCACGTATGGGCAAGTGGGCGGCGGCGGCTGGTCGCGAAGTGGCGGCGGCGGACGGTCCCGGCCGGAGCAGTGCTCCCGCGCTGCCGGCGCCGCCGCTGCCGTCCCCCGCGTGGCGGAGCGGAGCGGAGCGCTGCCTCTGCCCGCCTCGAGGAGAACGAACGGGCGCGCTCCGCGAGCGGGGGGATGGCTCGGCCCCGCTTCCCTTTCCTTTTCCTCCCGCTGCCGCTCGCGGCTGCCAGAGAGTCCAGCTTGGGCGGCTCGGCCAAGTTTGCCGGGGCTCAGGGGCTCGGCCGGCCGGTTTGCGGGAAGGAGCCGAGCCACTGCGAGGAGCAGGAGGGAGGGGACGAAGCCCAAGGAAGAAGGCGGGAAGCCCGGTCGGGGCGGCGGAGTGTGTGCGTGTGCGTGCGGCGAGAGGGGGAATAGACAGCCACTGGTGGACGAAGTGAGGGGCTGAGTGCGGAAGGGCGAAGAGGGGCGAAGTGGAAGGAAGAGCGGATGCGGTCCCCAAACGTGGGGTGGGGCCAGCTGAGCCCAGGGCAGGGGATAATGGGTCCGTCAGAGAGGGGGAGAGAGCGAGAAAGATTCTTCGAGGGGACGCTGGGCGCGAGCGTGGAAGTGGCGGCGGGTAGAGTGAACTTTGCAGAAAGATGGGGAAGGAATGAATCCCGGCAAGAATAAAAGGACAAGGGCTCTTGGCAAGGCTGAGGGGAAGAAAGGAGGGAGTGGTGCTGGAGTGAATGGGTGTGGGGGCCAGCCACGAAAATAGGAAAAGAAGCAGGTGTGAGAGGCTCCTCACGTCCGCTGTTCTCAGTGCAAATGGTTTGTTTCCTTAGGCAAAGGGGATGAGTTGGGTCTTTTCTTCTTGCAGGCGCCCTCTACTTTCATGAGGCAGCAGCCAAAAAGAAATACGACACTTGAAGATTTTCATGACATGGGAATTCAGTGACGGGCAAGCTTCACCTGTTGAATGCCTGCTGGTCGTGCTGCTGTGTAAGACACAGACGCTGTGCTAGAAGTAAAAAGTGGCAAACAGCATAATGAACTCCCACATATATTTCCTCCTACATACATTTCACTTTTGTAAGTTGTGCGTGTTCTTGCTGCAGGGCTTATTGGAAGCAAACCAGTAAAGCAAAGAAGCATGCAGGTTTTTTGGCTCCATGGGCTTCGGTCTGGATGAGCAAGATGTTAATAGAGCCCATCTTGTGGGACCCAGTTGCTTGCAAGGGGTAAACGAGTTGAAAAAGGATATCTGAATGCTTAAAACCTTATGCAGATGCTGAGAAGCAGTCAAGCTAAAACAAGAGACAGTTTACAAGAAAGAAATGAAATTTTGGGCAGACTTGGAGGAATGGACCTGAGGTCTAAATCTCTGCTTAGACTGAGTGACTCTTGGGCAAGCTATGATCTCTCAATCTCTACTCTCAGGGTGCTTGTGAAAATAATACTGACCATATGTACTACAATAAAGTTCTGAGAGGAAGAACCCTTTATTTGGTAAAAATCATTGCATTTTTCTATTAATCAAAGTGAAATGATATTTGTTTGCCTATTAAATTTATAAGGCACCCAACCAGGCTCCCTCAGGGTGACTTAAAATCAGTAGAAAATTATAAGAAGAAAGTACCAAACACTAGTAATCAAAGCAATAAACACAAATGTGAAAATATCAAAGTGTTAAAATGTTAAAAATATGAATGAGCCAACAGTAAATAATCAGCTGGAAGGAGAAGGCATTAACCTTTTGTCTAAATGAAGATGTCAGGCAAATCTCCCTGGGAACAGCATTATACAGATGGAGCTGCTGCGGATAAGGTTTTTTCTTTGGTGGCCACCTGTCCCACAGTTGAAAGTGGCAACATCCAGAGAAGAGGTTCAGAGAACTTCACAGTAAGGCAGGAGTCAACATACAGAAGGTATTCCCAAAGTAGAGCTGTCGTAAAGCTATTGTACCAAGCTTTTGAATAGGGCCCAGATGCTGACTGGCAGCTAGTGAAGTTGACTCCATCTCACAGAGGCACATAACTCCCCCTTCAGTAGCATGTACATGTTTAAAAGGATGGGGACATCATGGGGCCCTGAGGGACAACAGCAGGGTTTCCTTCAGGCAGAACCGTAGTTGCAAATAGCACCTTCTGGCAGTAGCTGTTCAAGCAGGAGTCAAACAACTAAAAGAGTGTCCCCAATTCAGATATCCTCCACCAATGAATACCCAATCAAAAGATGGTATCAAAAGTAGCTGGGAGATTAAGGAGAACCAACCAACCAGCATTCCAGCTGTCTTTTGCCTGAGAGAGCTCATTCCTCAGGGCAACCAAGGCATTTCCTCCCTAAACTAGGCCTAAAACAATTGAATATGCATGCATGTATTTGTGGAACCAAACAGGCACCTAGAGATCCTATAAAATCATGCTGTTGTGCTTTCCACATATATAAGGGGGGAATCCTTTACAGTCAGGCAGTATCTCTAAAAGGACCAAGCAAATATGTACGAAATTGTAAACAAGCTTTTGAGTCCTCTAGTTTGCCCACAAAACTGCATTTGATGGGTCTGATAGTGGTATTGCCTAACTGTAGATTCTGGATTTTTCTTATGGACCAATATGGCAAACTGTTTTGCACCTTGAGGAAAGTTTTCATGCTCATTTTTATGCACATGCTAACTACAAACATGGATGAGAAGAGACCTAGTCAATGCAAACATGTCCAAAGTCATGTATAGAATGCACATTATTACTGCATATAAAACACAAATCTGCATTCATATCTGTGTATGCACATTTCTAGATAAGCACATACAATGTCTCCTGAAGTGCAAGAACATTGTAAATAGACACAAAGATCTTTTTCCATATGCAAAAATCAGCGCCTTGGAAACTTGACCTGCTATTTCCTCCTCCAACTGTTTGTTGTTTCCCTTCCTCTGTCTCTTTTTTCAAAATTTAGCAAAGCCCACATTAATAAGTGCATAATGAATCTTTCAAAGCACAGCCTAGGACAAAGGCAGCCAGGGTGTGCCAAGGATCAGAATCAGCTGTTGGCATCCAGGGCCAAGCTGCTTTTGTGCTGTGTTTTTTTAGGAGCAAGTTGTATTGCAAAAGCAGCTATGAAATGAATTGGCAGCCTAGTACTCTAGTTAGCATAGAATATATGCACCTCATTTTGATAAAGAATTTTATTCCTGACTATTTGTGGTCTTAGAATCATTGATGTTCTGTAAAGTGCTAGCTTTGCCTGCATTCTTTTATGGATGCCTAACATTCTTAAAATATTGTCTGATGACAGATAACGGAATTCTGACTTTTTAGAAGCAGGGTGCAATCCTATGACCAGTAGATGCTCTTTAGAAAAATTTGGAGTCCCAGGTTCAACCTTGGAAATGTACTTCCAGGTCGGAGCTGGGACTCAGAATTCAAAGTGCCCTCTCTCCACCCTTGGAGTGAGTGAGGCTCCACCACATTACAAGATATACCAGTGGTACCTTAGCCTTTTCTGAAGAGCAAGGTCAAAAGACGTAGGGTGGGAAAAGTGTGGAGGTGACCTTTGCGCTCCTCCTATCCTTGCCTGAATGCCCATAATCCTCTGAGTGCATGGGATTATGGGCAACCACATTGGATTGCACTGCCCAAGGATTAAAGGTAGTTGCACCTTCACATGGAGGCATATTTCCCCATGTGCCACCATGTGTTGCAACCACATTGGATGGATGAACCACTAATTTACATTAACTAATGCACGTAGTACTAATTTGTTTTACCTAATGAACAGTAGCACTAATTTGAATCAACGCAGGTTAGCTTAAGCAGGTCTGAATACTAATGCATATTATCACTGTTAGAATCAAATTCCAGTTAAAATTGATCTTATCAATAAGTGGAAGATGGGATGGAAGACATCTGCCAATCTATGAAATAGAACAGACTGAACAAAATCCATACATCCCTGTGAAGTACCCAGTTAGTAGGATTCTGTCCTTCCAGAATGGCCAGTGGTTTGTAATACTGGGAGTCGTAGTCCAAAACATCTAGAGGAAACCAAGTTGGAGAAAGCTAGTGTAAAACGTCATTGTGAAATTACATCTCATCTGCATCTAAAATGGTTTTGTAAAAATCTGAGTTTCTGTTTAATTTATATACATATTTTGCTTTGATGAAGTTCAGCATTAACGATACTTAACAAGCCATTATGTAAAATGGGTTTTTCATAATTTTCTTGAGAAACTTGTCAAACTCTGACTAAAACAATATGGATTAAATATTTGTCATATTGTGTGTGTCTGATTTGGTATAATTTGCACATGGGTGCATTTGATTTTCAGAATTAGGACCAAATTAGAAACAAGGCTAAATGTGTCATTAGCAATCAAGTTCCAGTTTTAAGACAAAAACGTGTGGATAGACAGAGATGATTTATCAGGACTGGAAGCCTTGCATCCTCCTCAGTGGTACTAATGAAAATCTCACCATGCTGCTGTTAACGTATCAAAAGCTCCCATCCAAAGCATTCAAAGGGAGCTAAAATGATGTTTAAGTAACCTACTGGTGGAGAAAAGCTCTGTCAGTGGGGAAGCCCATCAACCATTGGAAATCTCTGCAGGTTCAAAGCTGTCACTGCTCTGTTGCTGCTAATGCTAGTATGAGAGGATTCAAAGCCCTGAAACATGGTGTTTTGAGTTGGACAGCAGTGGTCTTGGGTTGGCTGAGTTCAAAGTTCCTTTATATTCTGTAAAGGCAGCAGGATTGGGACCTTCATCCTGGGGCTGGTACCCCTAATTCCTTCCCTTATTGGTTCCAATGGGAGGGAGATGCGTAAAAAAAGGGTCACTGCAGCATGGTGGTTAGAATTAGATTGGAACCTGAGGCACCTGGGTTCTAGGCCCCACTCAGCCATGAACCATTGCCTGGATTCAGACAATCAAGGGTTCAGTATTTTATCATTGAAAAGTGGGTTATTCTGTTATTTGAACCCAACAGCACTAACAATCTGGTTCATATCCCAGCAACAGGCTATGGGTCCCCTTCATGAGTGGGTCCCCTTCAAACCATCCCATGGTTTGTTATTACAACTGAGTTCAAGCAACAAGGTTACCTGTTTGTCACTAACGCACTGTTCAACAACAACACATTATCAACCCCTTGAGTGGGTTATTGTATTGTCTGAACCCAGTCAATGAATGAT